GCGCGCCTCGGGGTTAGTACTGAGCCTTGTTTTCTTCTTTTTGAACCGGCTGCCGCGAGACGCGGCAGAGATCCCCGGGAGCAGCGGCTGATGGCTCTGAGCCCTGCTGGGCACCGAGACCGGGGCTTGTCCAAACCCAAGCGAGTAGCCCCCTTTCTCTCGGCAGGGGGAGAGAACCTCGCTGACTTCTGCTTGCGCCTTTGGGCAGCAGCTCCGCTCCAGGTGACCGGGGCTTGCGTTTCGCTCCCACCCTCCGATCTGCTCTCCCTGGAGCTGGCTAAGCCCCGAGCCATGCGGGGGTTGCCCCGTTCCGATGCAGTTCGCTAGCCCTGGGCTCTGTAGCCGGAACCGCAGAGCGGTGACGCTGGCATGAGTGTATAGAAGGAAACTTACCAGCCTTTTCTTGTCACCCCCTTAGCGCCGCTTTGCAGGCGATTTTATTTTTTTCTTTCAAGGAACCTCCTCCCCGCCTTGAGGAAGTTTTGTGCTTAGTAGTCAGTGAGACATACGCGGCTGAGTTTGGGTGTCATCGCTGCTAGGGCAGGAAATGTAGAAGAGGTGGTCAGAGACTGAAATTCAACGAGTTTTCTGGAGGTTTGTTGTGGTAACTTGACTAGCGAATCCTGCCAGCAACCTGAACATGCAGCATGAGTTTTGTAGGATAACAAACCTTAGGGTGACCAGATAGCAAATGTGAAAAATCAGGACATGGGGTGGGGGGTAATTGGAGCCTACATAAGAAAAAGACCCAAAAATCGGGACTGTCCCTATAAAATCGGGACATCTGGTCACCCTAACAAACCTTGGGGGGAGGGGGGAGTTTCCTTAATTTATGGCAGCTTTTGTAAGAACATGCTTAGCTTTCAGCACTGTAAAAACGCAGATGGTTCAATCTGGTCTGGAAAATATGCCCTTTTGTTCAGTTGTACATCCTATGCCATGCAACTTCCAAACTCCCTCCTACCCCCCAGACTCTGGCAGTATTTAAATCGACTTTCCTTTCTTAATAAAGAACGTTTACTGTTTGCAGCTATTAGAAAATATCTGCTGTGGGACCGTCTCGTTTCACGCTGGCAATAAAATAAGGAAAACATCTTAATTTCTGCAGCCTCTTTCGCAGTATTTGGAGGGAGTGGGGACCCAGGGCTCTCTTGTTTTTGTTTCTCTCCCATTTTCTTTCTCTAAGGGAATATAGATATGAATGAAATATTGGTTTTCTTGTGGTTTAAAGCCAGACACAACCGTGTGTTCTTCCTCTCCCGTTCCCGCTAACTCTCCACTGTAGACGAAGACACGGGAATCGTAGCCCTAACCTAGTGGGGTCTAGTTGTTCCGCCTAGGTGCATCAGCACCGCATGCAGGGGCTTGTGTTTTGGTTTGAAAGCACTTCCACGTGGAGGAGAGTCTGTGTGTGTTTGTACTTAATCTAAGGTGGTAACAGGATTCTCCGTGTTTAAACCCAATGGGCTGTTGGCCATTAATTTGCCTCTCTGGCTGTCATTACGGACACTTCCAAAATCTGATACCTAAGAAAAACTGCAGGTTAGATTTCACATTAAGGACTCGTAGTTCAGTTTTGTTTCTCCTCTCTCTGTCTTTTTTTGACGCGGCACATAGCATCCACTTAATTAATAGAGAGGAATATTAGTGGGGTCTGGCAATTAAACCCAAAGTCGCTTTGACTTTTTATTTTTAAGCAAAGGCGACTGTTTGCAGTGCTTATGTTTGTGTCCACTGCGGTGTCATGCAGTGTAAGGGGTTAGGTGACAGCCAGTCTTAAGCATTTTTAACAGAAGTGAAAGAGATCCCAGGATAGAGTCGCTGCCAGTCAGTAATTGGCATCTAAAGTTTCATTTACATTTATGAAACTGACTGCTATTAAAAACCAAGTAGATACATTGTTGTTTTTCCGTAATCCTGTGAGCAAGATTCAAAGGAAAGCACAAGGAGATAATTTTGTGTGTGTGTGTGTCTAGTAATAGATATTTTGCATTGCATAGATCCGATTTAGGTAGGGATATCTAAAAAAACAGAGCATTTTAGGTCATTTGAATTTAAACATTTTAAATAATGAAATTGTTTTGCATTGAAATCCATATAGATTTTAATGTAAGGTCTGATTTGCACATATAAAATAGAAGCAGTAATATATGCAGACTAATTAAAATATATTTAACAAAGTAATAGACAATTCAGAATTACATTGACATTTACTGAGAAGAATATTTTCACCATATACAGTTATAAATGAAGTATTTTTATCTGATTTCTGTTCTCAATTTGATGCTATCTTTCACTGTATTATCTATATCTTTTTATGTATTAAAGATTTGGATATAGCATAATTTCAGTTTCCAAATACAAGTTAATAGTGTTTTGTTGTATGTTCAACATTTTTCTTTGATTTCTTAACACAACTCATCACTTAGTGACCATGTAAATCAAAATCTTAAAATCACTGTAGACTTTCCACTTTTTTTTCCATGCAGTGCACCCATACAATGCTGCAGAATGTTGATCTTTACATACCTACAACTTATGTTGTACTATAAGTGATATCAAATAAATGGAAATACAAATGGACACCTTCCACCCCTTCTTCCAGTACATTTTAACATTTAATGTTATCAGGGCTAAATCTAAAACAAACACATTTAAAAAAAAAATCTTTCCTGTTTTGTTTTCTGAATGCTGGCATGTTACCAACTATTTTTTAATTAATTGTAGTATCTTAAAAGGAAAATACAAGATGAAAATGTCAAATAGTTACTTGTTCAAATGATATGTGCACAGTTATAAAAATAAATGTTAAAATATATATCTTTTGGATTGTTAAATTATAGTATTCTATTCAGTTGAATCATATGCTTAGAGGACTCTTTTATGCAGTAATGTCTTACAGCACATTACTACTCTTCTGCAATATAAATTTATTCTGATATTAGTGACTGAGAGATCATGGACAAAGTTATAGATCAGGTTCCCACTATCACTGAGTTCCTGTGTTACTCATACTACATAAAATGTATTGTGCATGACCATTTGAAATACAGAAAGACAATGTCCTATTGCACATTTTCAGCCTCTGATTCAAGCTTTGAAAGCTACTGTTAAGTTGTTTGGTCTTGTGTACCTTAGTTTTACTTGACAGTATTATAATAAAGAACTTTAAGTATCAGAATTTGGTTGAGAATGGGCAAAGATAATTATGCACTTTTGACAAGAGTTGATTGTATTGAACAGTGTTCATTCTATTTTTCAGGTAATGTAAACTACTTTTTTCTGTATAATATGAAATTCAGTCCAGGAATTCTCCCTCTCTTACCCCCCCACCCCAAAAATTATATCTGTCAAGTGCTGTAGAAAGAAAATACTAATTATTTATGTGTTATCTTTTTCTGTTTTGAAAGTGAGGATTTTATGAACTCTGGGTAAAACCAGTCTCCCTTTTTATAAAGGATAGTTTATTCAGTGTAGTTCTACATTGCAGCTGCTGATCATATTTCATAGAGCTGTTAAAGCACTTAAAACCTAAAATTAGGTACTGTCTGGTAGTAAATATTTCAAATCACTCCTGGAAGAAATAAATAGAAAAGTGTGCTTTCAAAATATGACATTTTTAAGTCTGTAATCTTACAAACGCAATCATGCTTTGGTTTTATTAAAAATAATATGCTTACAACTTAAACTATACACACAATGTGTTTTTAATTTTCTTAAGCTCTTCTGAACTATCACCATATAGAAATCTTAAACTAATTGTGTATGAGACCTAAATTAGGTATTTTGATACAGCAGACAATGCTTGAACAAAATGTACCAAGAGGCATCCAAATGAATTTCTAACATACCTGTATCTCCACTTATTATTTCTTACTGGGCTTAGAAGTGAAATGCATATTCAGTTGCTTGTTGACATGAAAGTTTATGTAGGGCAT